AATGTCATGAAAGGATATTTTTAAAAGGGCTATGCAACATGCCCAATAACTTTTCATTCTGATGATCTACAGAGTCATTTGAGAACAAAACAAATTTCACTGCTCAAAAACTTCACTATCTATAGTGCAGACAGTGTGGATCCTCTAAACTAAGTTTGTGGGATACGATCTTTAAAGAAATGAAGATCAAACTGTCGTTGTTTGTATTTGCTTACACAGCATGTCTTGAAGAATTAGCTGGAGTCATCAGCAACAGCAGAGAGCAGTCATATCTCAAGTCTAATAACAACAGACAGGAAAAGATCAATAAAGAAACAACTTCCCCAAACCAAAACACAAATGAAACAATAAGGAAATAGTAGTAGTAGTATTTATTTATTGTCATTGTCAAGAACAATGAAATTGCGTTTGGGGCTTCCATACAACCCAAAAAAGAAGAAAATAATAAATACCCCTTAAAACCCAAGTGTACATATTTAACCCAGTGTGACTCCAATGCAATAGACAATCCTTAGCAATAACATGAGAACATGACAAGTAATAAGAAAAACAGGTTGAGCTAAAGTATATTTAAAGTTCATCCTGATTAATATAAATGTCACTGATAGTTACAAATATATTGGAAATCCAAAATACATACTACTCAGCTGATGTCTTTCTGTCCAACAGTTCCTTTTCTAGACTTGCAGGAGTTTGATGTAATCTGGGGAGTGATGGTCCAAGCCCCAAAGACAGTAAGAAGCAAGCAGAGGAACAAAGCATTAAAATAAATACAGGGGTTAGAGTTTATGTTGTAAAAATTCATATGGATTGAAAACAAGCCCTGCTCCTAATGGCTGCACTTTCCAAAAACACTTAGTCTGGGCTTTTATCTAGTAGCTGCTGACTTTTCTTTTTCAAACAATCAACAGAAAATTTCACTGAGAGATATTTGTGTATAAGGTTTTTAAAGCTGTGGTGTTAATTTTTAAGTAACATGGGCCGAGGGGCAGCTGCAACGCTAGGCTAACACTTGCTAACTAGCAAGTTGATAAACCTGGTGCTAAACTTAGAGAAGGCACAAAAACAATTTGAATGAGTGTAAACATTTACTCACCAAATCAGAGTAAAGAATTGCAACAATAATCCCTTGAACTGAAGCTTCTCCAGCTGAACCCAGGTTTGCTCAACATATTCTGGGAAAAAAAAAACCTAAGTGCCATGAACATGTGGACTGACAGGAAGAAAGTGACATGTCATTTTCAAACAATATCATTTTGTCCTTCTGCGCTGAGAAGCAAAATTTCCAGCTTACTATATTTTTCCTAAGTTAAGACAACTTAAATAAACTGGGTTGATCTGCTTTTTGAATTTAAAGTACTGGCAATTTACTGAAATGCGGTCAGCTACTTAGCGCTTAGTGCTGTTTGCGTTAATCTGGTGGTGGTCAGAGGGCCGGGTGGGGCCTTTGTCCGGCAGCCTCGCCTCTGTCAGTGCGCCCCAGGGCAGCTGTGGCTACAGTGTAGCTGCCATCACCAGTGTGTGAATGTGTGTGTGAATGGGTGAATGACTGAATGTAGTGTAAAGCGCTTTGGGGTCCTATGGACTAGAAAAGCGCTATACAAATGCAGGCCATTTAATCTCATTAAAATGACGTTAACGCCATAACCGCATTAACTCTGTTGGCTCATTAACGCGCCAGCGCCGTGCAGCCCCAAGCACGGGCGATCTTCATTAACTCGCTAACAGAGATTTGCTGCGTTAATACAGTTATGGCATAACTGTCATTTTAATGAGATTAACGCTGACAGCACTACTTCATAGTGATTCTAATATTTAAAAAAATGAACAGGTAGAAAAGTTTTTTTTTGAGTCTAACAGAGCTAAAGTTCTGTTAGCAGAACTTGTCCTGGATGTAGTGTGTATTTCATCATCACACTTGTGTCCTTTTGTGCGATTAAAAATAAAAGTAATATTTATACCTCGACTATAAACCATTGCAACAAGAAAAACTGATTGTAGCACAGTTTGGTTGAAGACAAATGCATTTTTTTTAAATAATCACCCTGCGTCAAAACAACAAGCATTCAGTACAGTTACATATTAAACAGTAAATTACAGATTCCCAATGTGTGCCTTTTCTTGTTTTGTATATATTTCTCCAGTTTGGTGTTTATGCCTGCTGTCTACTATTAATAGTACTTGGAGGACTTGAAGCGAGCTCACCCATGATTTTGTTTTACATGTACAATCTCAATAAAGACACCAAAGACAGGGAGGTGTCCTTTCCAGCTAAACAATAATGAAGGTCACTGTTTGAATCAGTCATATTTCTTTCAATACAGTGATGTGCTGACAGGTCCAGGATCAGTCCAAATCATCAGCAGTTTGATCCACCTATGGACTGAAGTGCATTTGTGAAAATGTTGAACTGTTCTTTTATCAGTGTCTAACAGTATGTGTATGAAAGCCATGTAATGTCCATGTGTGCATGCTGAAAGAGACTGTGCTGGTCTGACTCCCCTCCTCCTTTCAGGGTGGAGCCTGCTGGAGTCCAGTGGTTGAGACCAGGTCTGAGGAAGTGTAAGTGTGTTTTTAATGTGATTCATGAAAACAAAGCAGCACACATTCAACCATCTTCAAACTGTCACATCACTCATTCACATCTCTGATGTCAGGAGGCATCAAAGTGTCAATCAGTGAACAGATGATGGATCAATAACTGCAGCTGGATTGTGTTTGTTTTCTCCACCAGATTCCTGTCAACCCACAATTGACACAAACACAGTACACAGAAACCTCAAACTGTCTGACAACAACAGGAAGGTGACATGTGTGATGGAGGTTCAGTCGTATCCTGATCACCCAGACAGATTTGATGTTCATCAGCTGCTGTGTAGAGATGGTCTGACTGATCGCGGTTACTGGGAGGTCGAGTGGAAAGGAGAGGTTTGGATGACAGTGAGTTACAGAAGAATAAGAAGGAAAGGAGTCAGCAATGACTGTTTGTTTGGAGAGAATGATCATTCCTGGAGGTTGTACTGCACTAACGATGGTCCTATTTATGTTTGTCACGATACCAAATTCGTATCCACCACCACCTCCTCCTCCTCCGTCTCTAACAGAATTGCAGTGTACGTGGACTTTCCTGCTGGCACTTTGTCCTTCTACAGAGTCTCCTCTGACACTCTGATCCATCTCCACACGTTCAACACCACATTCACTGAACCTCTTTATCCTGGATTAAAAGTCTTTATGGGTGCCTCAGTGTGTCTGTGCTGAGTTGAGTGTAAAGAGTGTCCTCCTGCTAGAGAAAACTGACTGTTGAACAGATAGTTCAGTCTGTACATGTCTGTCTCTTTCACTCAGAAACATGTTTTCAGATTCATGGATTCAGTTGATGTTTTAAACTGTTCTAAATGATTTCTTGTAAATTTCTTCCTCTTCAGTCATTTAAAGATGGAAGATACTATTATTACAGGATCCATATGTTTTTTTTCTGCCTTGGTTTTTGGTTAGTTGTGTTTTTCTGAAGCTCAGTTCACAACCAGCTCCTCTGCAAATGTTTGATTTCTCTTTCTTAATGGGATTTTTCCAAAGTCTCCACATGCTCTTACTGTTTCACTCATTGTTGGAATCTCATAATTTGAAAATGTTTTGTATAAGTTGAAAATATTGGCTCAATAATTTTAAATGCAGTTATAACCAGAATATCATTGTTTTGAGGGATCATAATGTATATGGCTTATCTAATAAACAGCAAAGGCTTCAATCCTGATTTGAAAGTAGTCTTGTGTTTTTCCAATGTTGAACAAGAACATGGTGCAGGATGTTGGTACCAGCTTGGTTATCAAACACATGAAAAATGTAAATATGTGTGTATGGCACTGCATATGTTGTGTATCACTTTAGTTTGTATGAAATATGTAAACTATCACAAAGTGTCCTGGTGAAGAATCTGCTGGAATTTGAGGATGGATATTCTTTTTTTTAGAAGCTGTTTCATTCATATGATTTTAAAAAGTCCTGCATCAAAAACAGAGAAAGTGAAGACAGATGTGTTTGTGTGCTCAAAGGAAAATCACAGCAAAAAGCCTTGTGATGGAATTAGGCATTTTCTGTTCTGAAGCCGTCTAGTGGTTGTTTTGTGTATATTATTATTCCAGATCTAGCCAGGGGCCGTTTCACCTGTGTTAATCTGTTGCCATCACAAGTTGTAAGTAATATTGTTTGTTATCATTGAAACAGGTTCGAATCAAATTTGAATGGGTATATAACCTAAGCTAATTAAAGTTGATTTATGCAGGAAATATGGCTGAATATGAAACATGATCCTGTTATTCATAGGTACATTTCACTGTGACATGATAGGCTTCATGCTTCTGCTGGTGGCTGTCCAGCACTCATTTAACAAAGTAGAACACACAAAGATTTAGCTAACAATGCTGAGCTGGAATATGTGGCTGTAGAAATACAGATCACTGAGGAAGTTTGCACCAGAATAAACTAATATAGTTCTTGTAAAAGGTCCCAACTTCAATCTTTGGAAAGTCTGGAAGATAAAGGAAATGAGAAAACAAGAAGATGTGGAGACTTTATTGCTCACAGCTCACTCCGGGGAGGAAAAAAAGAATGTGTTTCAGAAAATACTATTTCTTCCTTATGATTACAGACATGAAACTGTTTCAGCTTCTCAAAAATTCATTTTGGCATTAGTTTTCTTCCAGCCTTGGAAAAAAAACCCTTAGAGATTGGATGTGTTTGGTTGGCTTGAAGCTTTCTGTGAGTTGGTGTCATCAGGTTTGTTCGACACACTGTCAAACAAAACTGGAAGCTTCTGTGACTTTGTCTTTACCAGTGATGGGAATAACGGCGTTACAAGTAACAGCGTTACTAACACTTTTTTCAGTAACAACGTAATCTAACTAATTACTATTTCTATCGTTACAACAGCGTTACTGTTACTAACAAGAAAATGCGGTCCCAGATAGCAAAATTGGCATGGCCCAGATCTGGCCCACACAATGTGCTTACACATGGCCAACATACCGCAGAGAATGATGGTCCTCTGGTGGCCCAGACCTGGTTTGCCAGAGGTGGCCCACACATGGGCCAGCACAAGGCCAGTTGCAGACACACTGTCCTGTGCTGGCCTGTGGATCCTCGACCGATCTGGCCAGAAGCTTATTGTGTTTTAGGTTTCCACGGCATTGCACTGTGCCCGTCTGAAGAGTAGTCGCCCCAGTGTCTAATATGTACCTTAATCAAGCCATGTAATAACAACATGTGCCGGAACATAATATTCCAAAAGTAAGATGACAAAACTCTGTGGAGACAGTGAATGGAGTGATTGTTATGTAGCACTTTTCTACTCTCCCAGATTACTCAAAGTGCTCTGTACAACATGTGCAGTGTTGGGGAGTAACGGAATACATGTACCACCGTTACGTATTTAAAATACAAAATATGAGTAACTGTATTCCGTTACAGTTCGTTAAAAAGGTGGTATTCAGAATACAGTTACTTTGTTGAAATAAATGGATTACACTGCGGTATTTCCTGTTTCATATTGTCGACGAGGTCAGGACTGTTTGGGTTTTGTTTGCCATGCTGTTGTTCCAGGCGGCAGCTGTTACGGTTGCCATGGTTACAGGTGACGCCTCTCTCTGCGACTGTGTGTTTCCTGGGTGAGAGAGCGCCTTTTTGTTGTTGTCTGTTGTGCTAAGCTAACAGGCAGAATGCTACAGGCATAGCCCTGAAGAATGTAGCCTCATGGGCAGTGTAGTCCGTGCTGCAGGGAGAATGGACTGCTATACCAGTTATGTTCTGTGAGCGAGGGAGGGAGAAAAAGGAGAGTGGAAAAGTACGAGTTGTCACCGAGCAGAAACGGGAGCTGGAAGCATGTAAATATAATAATAACCACTGCAGCCAAGAAGAGTGCCTGACGAGCCCAGTTGTAAGTAAGCTATTAAGACTCGACTGTACACCATGTTGAGCCACACACCCATAATTTGCTCCATTGCGGTTAATTTCACACCTCAAACATTTAGTAAACAACTCTTTTACGCTACGTCCACACCTGCACTGTCATGAGGTGGCCCTGGACATTCTTCAAGGAGAAGACAACACTTTTTATGGGATACTCCTACCCACACTGGAGACATTGATATTTAAGTCCCTGGAGTTGAGCAGTGGCCTGCAAATTCTTGAAAATCTTCCAGAGGCATGCAGTTGTCACAGTAAGAACTTGTGTTTTTAACCACAGGAAAGGAAGGACAAGGCCAAGGCAAGTCTGCTGGGAGAGTGCCAGAAAATTGTCCTTAACAAAGACCAGCGAGCAGGTACCAGGACGCCAACATGCCAACTTATCCTCTGTGGACTAGTCCGTGCTGACTTTTTTTCCTTTGAAGATTAATTCAAGTCATAGATTATTTCAAATCAGGATCACATGGAATGGACTCTCTGAATAGATTCACACTGATAAAGAATATTTCACTCAGATACAATGCAGCTACTCCATCCAGTGCCCCAGTAGAAAGACTGTTTAGCCTTGGAAAGCTCATCTTTTCTCCAAAGAGGAACAGACTCTGATGAGAAATCTGAGAAGCTCCTTGTTTTGAGATACAACCACTGGTTTAATGGCTAGGTTGAATGGATGTGAGAGGTTTGTGGATGTTGCGAATAAGAATTCTTCATGTGTTAAAAAAAAA